GTATTTTTTTTCTCCGTTTTTTCTTGTGATGCTCGACGTGGTTTTTATTTGTCTTGGTACCCTTTTGGGTCTATTTAATTTTATATATAAATATGTTAGTTTTATATAGATATATAAATATTTTGTATGAAATAATTTTATGTGTTATTTTGTCTGATATATATTTTTTAGTTAAATATCCTTTCTCATAATTTATTAGATTGTTGTTTATGTATTATTTTCAATCCATTTTTTTAACTTATATATATAAGTTATCTGTATTCTTTTTCTTATATCATCTCCTTCTAAACCTTCCCTCCTTATTTAGTTTCTCCTTATTCAGTTTCCTATTGCATAATAATACATTCTCCTAATTTCCTATATCTTCTTCGTCGTCCATGGCTGCAGAGACAACAAAGAAGTAAACTCTTGCTGAATTATCTTTACTTTCCGAAACTGTTTATCACTCCGCTTAGAGCATTAATAAAGCTTAACACGTCATTGTTGTTTCTTCTTACTGGATCAGATATGCAGTTGTTACAGGAGGAAATAAAGGAATTGGATTTGAGATCTGTAAACAATTAGCATCAAATGGAATTACAGTGATTTTGACTGCAAGAGACGAGAAGAAGGGACTCCAAGCTGTGGAGAAATTGAAAGAATGCGGTCTCTCTGATAATATAGTTTTTCATCCACTTGATGTCACTGATCAAACTACTATTTCCTCTCTTGCCGATTTTGTCCGAACCCAGTTTAGAAAGCTTGACATCTTGGTATATATATATATATTATATTAGCTTGACATCTTTGTGGATTATCTTGTTTGTGAAAACTTATATACGAAATTGCAGAAATGATGGAATGGAATGCGGTTGAACCTGTAGGTGAATAATGCAGGGATTGCTGGAGCCCTGGTGGATGGTGAATCTCTAAGAGCTGCAACGCTTGGCAAGGTGCGTAGTCATTATCTATTTGGGTATATATCTATATATATATATATATATAGATAAGTGCTTATGATGTAAAATATATATCATATTATTCATAGTTAGTGCCCATCACCTAGATATCTACATATAGCCTAAGTGTTTTGATGAAATATTTACAATTACAAATGCTCATACATATATATATATATATATATATATATATATATTCTGATTGTTGCAGGAATTCTCAGAAATTAATTTTGGAGAAGTAAGGGCTGTTTATACTTATGAATTAACGGAAGAATGTCTTCAAACAAACTATTACGGTGCAAAGAGAATGTGTGAAGCATTTATTCCTCTGCTTGAATTATCAAATTCACCCAGAATTGTTAATGTTTCTTCAACGATAGGCAAGTTAGAGGTAAACACTTTCTTCAACCTTTCTTGATTTTACTCAACCCTAACTACATATATAATCTCTTTCAATATACATATATACATATATATATATATATAATCAAGTAATTGATGCAAATATTGTTTTCACATAAACTTTACTTTTTTCTATATAGAATTCAACCATTAATTTTTGGTAGTTTCCTTTTTTGTTTATAATTTTCTTGCAGAATCTATCAAATAAATGGGCAAAAGAAATGTTAAGTGATGCAGAAAATCTTACAGAAGAAAAAATTGATGAAGTATTGAATGCGTTTCTAAAAGATTTTAAAGAAGAATCGTTAAAATTTAAAGGTTGGCCTTCTTTTTCTGCTCCATATATAATGTCAAAAGTAACAATGAATGCATATACGAGGATTTTATCAAAGAAATATCCGTCATTTTGTGTTAATAGTGTTTGTCCTGGATTTGTCAAAACAGATATTAGTAATAATATCGGCATCTTATCTCCGAAAGAAGGCGCCGAAAGTCCTGTAAAACTAGCATTATTGTCTGATGGTGGTCCTTCTGGTCTCTTTTTCATTCGTAAAGAAGAGTCATCATTTTAATTTATTAGTAATTTAATCAAGGATTTCTTACACAATGAACTAGAATGCGATGTATGTGTTATTTATTTATTTATTATTACGTAATAATCAATAAAATTTGTCTTAGAATATTTGATTTTATAATTTAAGTTCATTGTCTTCTTGTAATGCCAATGGTAAATTAGCAATTATAGCATAATTACTTTCATCATAAATCTACTGATTTTGTTTTTTACATTATCTACTTTTTCTTTGAAAATTAAGAAACTCTTTATTAACCCAAAAATACATGACAAGAAAGTGAAGAAACCAAAGCTAACCTTACAACATGAAAAGAAAATGCTTGTAACAATTGCTTTTTAGAATTTTTTTTTTTCAATTCTTAACGCTAAACAACAATATTAATTTCCAAGAAATTTAAAAAAAAAAAGAAATTTTCTTATTTTATAAGAAATAGTTATTGAATTTAGAATTTTATTTTTAAAGTATTATTAATAAAAATTAAATTTAGATAGATACTATACTTATTTGCTAATCAAATTCGTCCTTGTTCATAATCATGTCATATATTTATATTTATATTTTTTAACATAAATTATATATTTTAATAATTAAGTATCATCTATACATTACTAATAATATAATTAATAATAATATAATTTAATAATAATAAAACATATATAAAATATAATCTAATTTGAATTCACAGTCTCATATGGAAATATAAAAATGCTAAATATTTAACAAAAAAATGATTCATTTAAATCTTCATCTTAATTCATGAAATTGATGATATCAAATTGTAATAATAGTTTAAATATATATGAAAATTACTAAAAAAATTTAATCTTGAATTAATCTATTATATATATATATATATTTAAATATTTAAAAATAAAACCAGAAAGCTGCAACCATCAACTTTTCATTTTTTAAAATAATATTCAAATATAAAAATAACTCAAAATATGGACGCGACAATTTGGTATCTTTTCTCCCTTTTGACTTGAACTCGAAGATGCGTCCGCACAAGCACAAAAGTATACGGACAATTTTGATGGATTTTCTTAAAACTATTACCTATTGAGTCGCTTGCTCATACTTTAATTTATATTATTATTTTTATAATAATTATAGTGTTTAAATTTCTAACATCGATAACAACTACCTATTAGGAGTTGGCAGCCGACGAGAGTTCACAGTGAAAGGCCGCTGGGGGTAGACACAGGTGATTTGCGGGTGGCAAATAGTAGCATGTGGGGAATGGCAAACGGCAAATAGTGATTGGCAGGCGACAGGGAGAAGAGATGGTGGAAGGTGCTCAGGGATGACGAGGGGCAGATGGTAAATAATTAGGTCGATTAGTAGGCAACACAGGTAGGTAGTAAAGGGTGACTGACAGATAGTAAAGGACGAGTGATGTGTGGCGAACTCCAAATAGTGGGCGGTGGGTTGCAAAGAACAAAGGAAGGTGGGCAAAGGACGATGGAAGGCAGGTAATAGGTGGTCAGGTGATTGGCAAGTGGAAGAGGGCCGCGACGGAGGGGCCTATAGCATGCAATGACTGTTGAATGGTGGACGATGTGTAGTGGTCCCTGGAGGGCAGGTAGCTGCGGATGGAGGGAAGTCAATGACATTTGGCTAGCAACAAAGGATGACTGGTGGTGGAGGACGATCGGCCAGGAAGGACCACCAATTGATAGTTTGTCGCAGCAGATGGCGGTGGTCAGTAGCTAGCTAGCTAGCAACGAACTTTAGATAAAAGACGACTGACTAACAGCCCACCTAGTTGGGTACAGAGGACGACTGACAATAACTAAGTGACTATGAACAACAATGATATAATTTAACAAAGTGAAAGTAATGAGTATGTATAATTTTTTAAATTAATTGAAGTAATTTTGAAAAAAATAAATAAATAAATCAACAGCTGAAACCATTTTTCAAAATTTAATATTTTTACCATCTATGTTTAGGCTTATCAAAAACAGATTTTCGTCTGGACTGAAAATATTTTTGATATTCAAAAGCTAACAGCCAAACAACACTAAATAAGCTTATCTAAAAAAATTCAAATTATACAAGAGTTTTAAGGTACTTCACCGTTCAAAACATGTAGTTAATCAAATTATAACGATCACATGGCCGCGTGAACACTACACTAATATTAATCTAAAGGGATGTTTTTCAGCTGCCGGGCCTGCTTTGTGTAATTTTCTCTGTCTTGGTACACTTGGTGTCTGTTTAATTATATATAAATATTTCCTATAAAATAATTTTGATCTTTATGATCTAATCTTTCATGATTCACATGATCTTTAATTTTTATTACTATTTATTTTTATGGTTCAAATTTTATGTATTCTTCTTGTTCGTATATAATCTCCTTCCAAACCTTCTCTCCTTATTTGCTTTCATCTTGTTCAGTTTCATCTTACGTAACAATACATTCTCCTAATTTCCTGTATCTTCTCCGTCATCCATGGCTGTAGAGACAACGAACAAGTAAACTCTTGCTTAATCTTTTTTTAGTTTCTAAAACTGTTTATCACTCTTCTCAGAGTATTAATAAAACTTAATACGCTATTTCTTCTTGGATCAGATATACAGTGGTTACAGGAGGAAATAAAGGAATTGGATTCGAGATCTGTAAACAATTAGCATCAAATGGAATTACAGTTATTTTGACTGCAAGAGTGGTCTTTCTGATAACATGGTTTTTCATGATGCACTTGATGTCACTGATCAAACTAGTATTTTTTTCTCTTGCCGATTCTGTCCGAACCCAGTTTGGAAAGCTTGACATCTTGGTATACGTATATATATATATATATATATATATATATATCCTTTTATTTTATTTTATATAATAAATAAAATATCGTATTTTTTTATTTTTTATTTTTTATTTTCTTAGGGTAGATTATATGAGGAAAAATGAAAACTTACATAACAAATTGCAGAAATGATGGAATGGGATGTGGTTGAACTTGTATGTGAACAATGCAGGGATTGCTGCAGCCCTGGTGGATGGTGAATTTCTAAGAGCTGCAGCACTTGGCAAGGTGCGTAGTCATCATCTGTGTATATATATACGTGTGTATGTAAATGTTTATGATATAAAATGTATACCATATCAATCTTAGTTAGTAGAGGTGATCTGTGTTTGATCTAAAAGTATGTTGTGTTAAAATAGAAAATATATATATATATATACACACACACATACACACATATAGCCTGAGTGTTTTAATGAAATATTCACAGTTACAGATTTCTAAATGAAAATGCTTATACGTATACAAACGCAGGAATTGTCAAAAATTAATTTTGAAGAAGTAATTGTTGATCACACTTATGAATTAGCGGAAGACTGTATTCAAACAAACTATTGTGGTGCAAAGAAAATGTGTGAAGCGTTTATTCCTCTGCTTGAATTATCAAGTTCACCCAGGACTGTTAATGTTTCTTCAGTGATGGGCAAGTTAGAGGTAAACACTTTCTCATATACGTATATATATATATATATATTTAATGTTTTTTTAATTATCATCAATAAGTTGACGATACGACGTCGTAATTGTTTTCAACCGCAAAAATCAAAATACTCCTGCGCCCCAAGTTGCAGGGAAGCGTGAAAAACCAACTTTGCCGGGGACCAGATTCATGCTGGCAATCGCATCTTTCCATTTCCCAAACACCATTCAAATTTCTCACTCTTTCCAGCTCCTTGAAGCTACAGAGATTTTTATATGACGTTTTCTGGAGAAACAGGAAATTAGAGGTAAAATATTTCCGGTTAAATTATCTACGGCTTCGCTGGACTTTGAAACTTTTTCTCTTTTACATTACTTAATTCGGTTAATCCATGGTATTCTTAGCGTTGAAGGGGATGATTGAGGGAATTTTTGGTCTAGGCTCGACTTTGCTTTACAGAACAGCTAACGAATAGACAATTTTAGTTAATATCCTTTTCCCTAAGAAAACATTGCACTCAAACTTGAGATTCAGTAATGAAAGGCTTCAGGCAAGAAAATGGAGAAGGGTTCAATCGTAAAGCAATCTTGCAGCAGCAGGATCTAAGGCTGTAGCATTTCAATATACTAATTTTACTATTTCAGGATTTAGTCCTAGGCGTGTTTCCCCTTAGTTTGGGTATAATTATTTTTACAGATATTTATAGGCTATTTCATTGATTATCTGGGGTAGAAGTTTTGATGTTGATTCATGCGTTATCTGGATACAAGTTTTGATGTTGAGTCATGTTGGTATTTATACTGTTTTGAACCATATGGAACACGTCTTAATTTGTAATGCAGTTGATGGTATCTGTTCGACATACTGTTTAAAGTTGTTCATACATTGTCAGTTTAGTGCTTGAAACTGATGAGCAAATGGAGGAAAATCGGCATATTGCAATTTTTACCACTGCTAGTCTTCCATGGATGACCGGAACCGCTGTCAATCCTCTATTTCGTGCTGCCTTTCTTGCAAAAGATGGAGAAAGAATGGTCACTTTGGTGATTCCTTGGTTATCTCTTAAACATCAGAAACTAGTTTATCCCAACGACATAACCTTCAGTTCACCTTCAGAGCAGGAGGCTTACGTGCGTCAGTGGCTTGAGGAGAGGATTTCTTTTCGTTCAAATTTCAGTATATCTTTTTATCCTGGAAAGGTAATATGGATGTGACTTGCTAGATAAGCCCTCTTGAATTTGCTCATAAAAAAACTCTTGCTTGTACCTGGAGATTGTTAATTTCATCCAAAAGTATAAACAAAAGTTTTGTTGTTTCTCGGAGTTTCCGTTTTTTGATTCAAGAGCAGTTTGACAAAAACAATTTTTTACACTATATTTACAAAATTTATCATACTCTGATTACCAAATATAGGTTAATTCATGTATTTTTTTTGGTGAAATATTTCTAATTTTCAGTGTTAGAATTTTCATTCAAGTCAACCTGACTGCAATTTAGGCTATGCTATCTTCATTTGTGCATCATTTGTTGTAGTGCTGCCTCAGAATCCTTGCTTCTGAGAGCTACGTTTGATGTTCATTCATGGATTCACTAATCATGCAGTTTGCTGTAGACAAAAGAAGCATTCTCCCTGTAGGGGATATTTCAGATGTCGTTCCAGATGAACAGGCGGATGTTGCTGTCCTTGAAGAGCCTGAGCATCTTACATGGTTCCATCATGGAAAGCAATGGAAGGAGAAATTCTGCCTTGTTATAGGAATTGTACACACAAATTACTTGGAGTACGTGAGGAGGGAGAAAAATGGGAAATTACAAGCATTTCTTCTTAAATATGTAAATAATTGGGTTGTCGGTATCTATTGCCACAAGGTATGGTTCATCTAATTACCTTTCCGAAATAGTTTTCTAGTTTACAATTCTCAATTTCCTTATTTTTATGAAGTTCAATATTTCCTCTGCACAATGTTACATGCATTTGTTGCATTGAGTAGTTAATGCTGGAGTCGTGGCACCGTATCTCAGATTGATATCGATAAATTAACTATATTTCGCATATCCACGGCATGTTCAAGCGTATCCCTTGAAGGGCATGGCATAATTAACTTACTCATGAATTGGGGAATGCATTGGTTGTATAGACGGGTATGTGGCAATTTGTTGTCAGCATGTCATGACTTTTAGTTAGTAATGAAGTGTCTGAAACAGGTTTTAGACTAACAAGCTTTATCATGATAGTCCTAGAACATGCAAGGCAAGTAGGGGCCTACTATCTGGCCTACACCCATTGCTACTATCTTAATATTTCTTCTTTTACTGGCTTTTCATCAAAAGATAGTTTTTTTTATCCTTTATCAACTCGAGCACTTACTATTTTTCTTTTGAGAGTGTAATCTTCTGATGAAGTGCTTGCTGGGGGTATTCACATGCTATGACACCCTCTTTCTTGTGATGAAGATTTGGACCCATTAAAAATATACGTTTTAGATAGATGTTACTACTTTCTTTTCTCAATGATAAGCTTCCTAAGTGCTAGAAATTTATTTGAGATGTAAGAAGAAAATGTCTGTCAAACATTGTGTATCATGTGGTGGCTGTACCCTTGATCAGATGCTAACATCATAAAGATCTGCATAGGCAGGTAATAATACATGGAGAAACTGTGAATAGTTTGGAGATGACTTTTCATGGGTGTGTTATATCAATTGATGGAAGTGTGTCCATCAATTAATGAATCTGTTAGTTCCCTCACATTTTAAATGGTCTTCATGGCATTTCTTGGTTCCATAATATGAATAGTTTGTCTTTTTCAAATACTAAAAACATGCAGTCAATGAAAACTATAGAAACAGTGGACAATTAAGATCCAGGGGATCTCTTACGAAATATTAATCATGTTGCTTGAAAGTGGTAGTCTATCATAGAAGGTTTTGGTATTGTAGTTCCATTAAAT